GATGAATTTTTGTGTATTTTTTCATATTTTCTTATTTTATGCTTTGACTTACCCTGTTTTATTAGGGAAATGGGATTGTTTGAATGATAATATCTTGTTGAATCATGCAGATGGCTTTAAAAAGTCATGATAAAGAACTGCATTCCTCTTTTCCTATTTATCTTTTAAAACATATATTTGATTTCAAACCTTCATAAGAATACTCATACATAAATGCATTGCAGAGTGTAGTGAATGTTCTATACTAAACTTCTGTCTTTACTACTAGCAAAAATATTAATTGCTGTGAAGGAGGAAGGTTGGACTTATTGCGGTACAAATTGTTGAAGAAGTGATGCAAATTTAATGCTGATTCTCAAACTTCTGTATTTTTTTCTTTGCCAACTCGTGAATTTTAGATACATGTAAGAGAAGCCACATAGCTGACACTTCTGTTTCACATTTGTAAATTAATTGAATAAGATATGGTGATAACGAACAGTATTTAAGCTCATAGTCCATTTAAACAATACAAATCGGGAGTAGAGCAAACAAGGACCACAAAAAAATCAGAGGCAGGATCAGGTGCTATGGAGGAGTAAGTATCCCTCTGTCGACCGGTCACACCCGCCGTGTGTTCCTTGTCATGATCGGTAAATAGAAAATCCGTAGAAATGTCAGTGTGTAAATAATGGTCTAGCAATTAGTATGAAAAACGTCAGTCAACATGTGACCTAATGATAGGTTGTATTTGCTGACAAGGTAAAAGTATCAAACTTAAAACTTGCGAAATGATGACTTAAAACAAGACTGATGATATCCTTGTTTCATCAACATGTTGGTTTATAGTTTGCTTTGTTTTAAAGATTGATCGCACGTAGAGCATGCTCTTTTGTATCGAATCAACTGGGAGACATAAACTCCATATTCAGGTGATAAGGATATACTGCTACATAAGTATGGAAATTTGACGTTTATCATAAAGTTTTCTTGTTAGACTATCATTAGACATTAATGGAGGACTAAATATATTGATTCAACTTTTCCATCGCTAGTTTTTCTTACTTGTCAGAATGAGTCTGGGTACAACCAATTATTTTTATATCAATTCTGTATTTTGGAAATTGGAAATGCTTTTCCTTATGACCGTGTTAACGAGATAATAACTGTAATAGTTGGGAAACACTAAAGAATCTAACAAACACGTGTGCATCCTGATGCTGACATTTTTATTCTGTAATCATATTTTTCCGCATAGACAAAGCATGTGGGATAACCGCGGGAAATTATTGAGTACTTGGGTTGAACATTACACAATTAAGAAATAGTTCCACTAAAATAGTAACAATCATGTAAATGAATAATATGCAGTTATTACAATAACAGTCTCCTATAATCCATATAATGGCATTACTGCAAATAAAACATATCCTTTATAAATAAAACATTGATTAAATTCCTATGTTTCAATTACATTTATTGGATCTACTGGGATGATATGTTATTATTCAGATATATTTAAACAAATATTTTTCTTACAAAATCGATTATATTTTTAAATCATACATGGGTACCATGTAACCGTATCATGTCTATACACAAATATTTGAGGATATTTTTCTGCATATAAATGCAGGCTCTGTCAATTTATTTTTGGAATTAAAATTTTATAATAATATGTGAAAATCCCAGTAACGATTCTAAATATATAAAAAAAAATTTACTCATGAAAAAAGAATTTATGAAGTTTACTTTTTCAGATAATGAAAAAAACCAAAAGAACTACAAGTAGGTGCAGTCATTTTGAATTGAAACGAGAATAAAAATATAAAAATGTACCTGTTATTTGAGTACTTATAATGAAAAGTATCTGCTTGAGTAATTTTTTCTCTTACCAAGAATTTTTTATGCCCCCGAAAATCGAATTTCAAGATGTAGGGGCATATACGAGGGGGTATCAAAAAGTTCGTGGACTAGCGCCATAAAATTAAAACTGCTTTAGGTACATTAATGAATTTTAAAATATTTAGTTAGCATCATCTTTTCTATCTAAAGATTAAACCATAAATCATAAATTTTATTTTTTAATAAATTAGTAATGTTTTTGTAAGCAATGGTATGTCCAGGCGGCGCAACCTCGAATATGACGTTTTTTCGACCTCAGTGTTACTGAGAAAAACTATTTTGTTATGAACATTTGACATCCAAAAATCCCGTTAATTCAAGTGTGTGATGGGACACTATTGTTCCGTAAAATATGCATTTTTTTACCTCATTCTGTAAGTTCTATGAAATTTTATCGTAAATTTTGTTTCGAGTGTCCAAACAATTAAGGGCTTGAAAATGACGTCAAAAAGGGAGAGGGGTTTCTTTTTCCAACATTCTACAAAGTTTTGTCCCTAAAAAAACTGGTATAGGCCTATGAAATCTTTAAACTGGCTACAGAGAAATAAAATGCATCTAGAGTACATGTACTTGTTTTTTAATGCCAAAATGTATTCAGCGAGAAAAGGGATGCACAGTTAATGTCGATTTGTAGTCAATGTGTGAAAAGTCAATCACGTCAAAAAATGAAGTTGATCATGTGTGATAAATTATGAACTTCAAAAAGCAAAATATGCTGGCATAATCAAGCGAGGATCTCTCCTTATGTATAAATCCATTTGCAATATTATATGCTATGAAAGCAGCTGTTCATGACATTGTAAAGTCATATAAACAGGACGGGTTTAAGTCCTTACTCAACTCCAGGAATCTCATCAAGGTAAGTGTATGAGGTAGAAGAATCGGACATTGAATAACAACGACGTTGTCGGACGCCATGAAACTAAACGGAGACAGCGCCGGGTGATCATATAATGTCGTTTTCATTTTATAATAATTTGGCAAATAATGAAGGTATCAAGCTAAAATTTTCTAAATTTCTTTTTTTTTTGTTGTTTTATGTTCCTTATAAATTTTGAAAGCACAGACTACATAGTACTAATTTTGTCGACTCAGTCCACGAACTTTTTGATAACCCCTCGTAGTTTTTGCTCTGTCCGTCCGTCTCTCTGTTTGTCTGCAAAAACTTTAACCTTGCTCAGAACTTTTGATTGGTTGGAGCTATGGCTTTTATATTTCACACATTGTATTCTTTGTGAAAAGACATTTCTTTGGGTACCATCATATTTGACCTTTTGACCTTGACCTTGGCCTTGTAGTTTGATCCACTTTGGCAAAATTTTACGAGATTTTAACCTTGGCCATAACTTTTGAACAGCTTGGGCTTTCGTACTCCACATGTGTATTCCTTGTGACAAGACCTTCCTTTGGATACCAAGAACTTTGACCTTTTGACCTGGACCTTGGAATTTGACCAACCGTTAAAAAACTTGGCCCTATATTTTGGACAGTTTGTGCTAGGATTTTCATTCTTCACGTGTTGAAGCTTGGGTTTTCATACTTCACATGTGTATTCCTTGTGACAAGATCATCTTTGGATATCAAAATCTTTGACTCTTTGACCTTGACTCTGGAGCTTGACCTACTTTTGAAAAACTTTAACCTTGACCATAACTTTTAAACAGTTGGTATTATGGCTTATAGACTTCAAATTTGCATTTTTTGTGACAAGACCTTCATTTAGATACCAACAACTTAGAACCTTTGACCTTGAGTTTGGCCTACTTTTGAAAACTTTAAACTTGGCCATAACTTTTGAACACTTGGTGTTAGGGCTTTCGTACTTTACATGTATTTTCCTTGTGACAAGATCTTCCTTTGGATTTCAAAAAATTTGGTATTGACTTGGAGTTTGACCTACTTTTAAAAATATTTAACCTTGGCCATAACATTTAAACGTTTGGTTCTAGGGCTTTCACATTTCACGATCATGTGTATCACATCTGACAAGACCTTCCCTTGGGCACCATTTGACCTTGATCTTGCATATTTACTTACTTTTCAAAACTTTAACTTTTCAATGGTTTTGATAACTTTTCAACGGTTGGTGCTAGGGCTTTCATATTTCACAGGTATTTTCCTGGGAACAAGACCTTTCTTTGGGTATGAACATTTTTTTTTTATCTCTTGACCTGAAGTTTGACTTGCATTTGAGAAACTTTAAAGCTGAACACGACTCGTAAATAGGCATACGCCATTTTCGTATTACTATCTACGATATCAGCACCGGGGTATACTCTTCGCATTTGTTACACCTGACTGCTTTATTGTAACGGGTATCGGCGTGGAATGGCGACCCGTGTTCGTGCTGGTTATCTAGCATTAGTTTTGTTTATATTTTATTGCAGTAACGTGTATTTTTGTTTGTTTGTATATCGCACTGACCTGTGCAACTGTTGTAAGTTTTTTTTTTTGGTATCTTACTCTCCTGTATAAGAAGAAGTACTCAGTCATTTTTTGTCGCTACCGATTGCAATTTAAGCATACGTCCGTCTAACTGGTGAAGATTGATTACACTGAACAGTGACTAAGTGAACGGCTTTATTTAAGGGCCCTGGGATATAGCGAGAGACTATTCGAATATGGCGGACACATTCCTTTTACGAATCGTATTCAGCTTTAACCTTCGACATAAGCTGCCTTACGGGAGCATCAGTGTTTCACAAACACATATTGTTTAGTCTTAAGTGCAAATTTGTTATCTTGTGCAAATATTTTTCCCAATAAGTTGTTTTATACATGTATGTCTTCTACCCCGATTTGTGAAATACCTTTATCTCAAAGCAGAATTTTTTTTTAAACTTGCAGATTACATACGAAAGAATACACGTTTTGCATTACAATTTTCATTATAAATTTTATTAGTGAACATCAATGTTTATAGAAAAATACAATAAATAATCTAATGCAAATGAGACAAGTTGATAAAGAAAATTATATATGAACACTGTAATATAAGGTATTGCTAAAAAGTGTAGAATTTTTAAGGTTCATGGATTCGTGTTCCAAAGCAAATGCTGAACATATAACATATCAAAAACGTCAGCAAGACTTTAAAACATTACAAAAATCTGTCTTATAATATCTAAATAATATGAAAAACCAAAAAAGGAAAAAGAAACTAACAGACATACTGTTTTTCAATACAACGACGTATTTAATTGTTTTTAAACAAAAATAAATTTTTAAGTCGATCACACACTCTGTCTCATTCAAATACAAAACCTCAAACGTCTGAGATACCAGTTGTATTCATGGGAGTCATTTCAAATTCCCTTTGTGGGACAGGTGTCTCCTTGCAGCAAAGATTTTGTAACGAAGAATACGTCGGTAAAATCGACATTTTCTTCTTTATTCTTATGATTACCACAGTAGCTAGAAAAATAACTAGTACGCTGAAAACCACAAAGATAATAATGACTCCGTCATCTGTACCGTTTTTCTCCTTTTTTCCTTGGAAAAGGTTTGAAGTATTCTTTAACGTGTCACTGTGTGTGGAATTTAAACCACTGTTTATAAGTGTGACTTCACTACTGTTAATGGGCGTTGAAAAATCTGTCCGAGGCACCTCGCTTATTAGAGTGGTGTCGTTCCTCACAATTTTGATTTCCCAAGCATCTACACCATATTCCTGTATATGAAAATGTATATTTAAAAAAAAGGAAACAGCATTTTTATCATTATTTATTTCACATTAATATTTATTTATGATTCGCAATTAATATTTATCGGTCCGATTTCCAACTTAAAAGTAGAATTGAAGTGGGGATAAAATGCAGAAATTTGATTTATTCACACGTAAACTGGAGAAGAAAGAATTGCTTCAAATTAGTTATGATTAATCTTATTAGTACTTGCATTTTTTTACTAATAAAAATTTTATTTTAAAAAATTAATTAACTCACCTGTATTCCAAAGATTAGCAAAATCATCAGACAACAGTGTACCATTTTATGTATTATTTTCAAGGTTTAACAAGATAGATCAAATTAGGATCGTCACATATTTTAGAACTACACTGTACATGCCTATATATATATATATATCCTCGGCAGTATTCTAAATTGTCTGGTACTGTAGCCCACAAAGTTGATTGCACTCCATTAAAGTGGTCAACCTTATTCTTACATTTTGCTAATTTATAGAATGTTCAATATTTATTTATTTTTACGATCATTAATAATTGTATTAAAAATTTTCAGCAATTGAAGAAATTTTTCAGCAATTCAAGAAATTTTTCGGCAGTTAACAGCTTTCGTTTTACAATGTGCCTAATGTAGTGTATACCGGTATTTTTAGAATTTAGGATTGTACTTTTAAACAATTTACTACGCAATATACTATAAAAAGGAGGTGAAGGCCGATTTCTTTTATAAATGTTAGAAAATACCCACTGCATGGTATGCAACAAATTATCAATCTTAAATAATGATATTTCAAAATCACTTTTTTTGGTAATCTGCATATGCATGATAATCATAGTTGTGTATCTTCCTCAAATTTTAACTTATCAGACTGTAGTAAATCCCTAATTAAAAGATCGGTTCACATGCGCCTATTACTGATGGATGTAATACTATATATAGTGTGGAGAAGTAATTTTAACGATGCGTTCACATGCGCTAGTAAACTGTGTGAAAATCAGATTAAATTTGAAAATCCCCAACCAATATGTACTTAGGGGGGGATTTTCTAATTGTCACTCAACTCTTATAATTTTTTCTTATGCATTATAGTATTCCCGTTTCTCCTCGCAATTCCTTACACTTAAATGCTACTTAAAATGAATTTTGAACTATTCATAAAAGTGAATAGGATATAGCAGTATACATAGCCTATTTTAGCCTTCCCCCTATTTTGTACTTATTGATACAGCAGAAGGGTTCCGCCCTTTTGAATATTAAAAAATGTAAAGTTTAACAATGTAAGCAATAATTAATCAGTATAAACGATATCATTATCTGCTTATATGTCTGTAAATTTTGCTATGCGTACACAAGTGCCTGAAAATAAACCAGGAGTAAATTAACTCATATATAAAAGTTAATTTTCATTTACTCATGTTAATTTTGCACTAGGAGACTCTGTATAAATATTCAAGAATCCAAAATATTGCTTACATTCCGTTCACATCCCCATAAGAAATACACCCTACTTCATCGTCCCAAGCCATGCTCCGCGCAGTCCGCATATAGCTGTCTCCAGAATGAGAGAGCGTCGTACTTTTTGGCCGTGGTTTGCGACGATGACCCGACTTCAGAATGTGCGTTTATATGTAAAATTTGCAACCGCGTGTATAATTGTTAATGGGACCTTTGACAACAAATTTCACTATTATATGTTATTTTATGAAAGACACCGTTATCCATTAATGTCTGCTAGTTTCTGAAAAGTGAATTTTATTGATTTGCATATATGAAATAGAGATAACGAACAGTTTCAAGCTTAAAGTCCATTAAAACAATAGAAATCGGGAGCAGAGCGAACACGGGCCTCCAAAAACATCAGAGAATTAAGGGATCAGGTGCCATGGAGGAGTAAGCATCCCCTGCCGACCTATCACAAATCAGTAAATAATTGCTTAACGATTAGTATGAAAAACGTTAGTCACCATTTGACTTAACGATAGGTTGTATTTGCTGATAAGGTCATTGTATCGACCATAAAACTTGCGAAATATTGACTTCAAACTATATATATATATATATATATATATATATACAATGTATGTATATATATATATATATATATATATATATATATATATATATATATATATATATATATATATATATATATATATATATATATATATATATATATATATATTAAATATATATAATTATGTACTGGTATATATTTAAAAAAAAAATTATCAATTTAGACTCATCAAAATTAATACCATATAATATTTACATTACTTATCCTTGGTAAAGGCTTATGACTGGACTCTTGGTTTAGCAAAGTTTTAAATTCAATCTTGTAGCACCTGAGTGCCAAAGGAACAGCTCATGATTACCATTAGTAAGTTGTATATTTGACTGTAGTTTGTTTGCTAGGTGTATGGAAGAAATAGGATTTTAAACGTTTCCTTTTTTAAAAATACAGGGTTCACTTCAATCTTAAGGTCTTATTTCATGTGGTGGCCTCAGACCAGTAAATTCACAATTTTGCTCCCTTCATCTAAAATTGCTATATACCTTAATGCAACTAGTTTTAAACTGCATCAGTACTTCTGTGAAGATAATTATGTCCAAGACTCATGATAGTGGACAGAAACTGAAAGCACTAAGATATCTGATCTGATCAACTCTTTATATCATATTCTAACATTTGACCTTGATATTGGTAAATGATACACAGATATATACTTCTGTTGATTTTCTAACTGTTCATTGCAAAGATTAAAACTAGTCTATTAAACAAGAGATGTTTGTGAAACACTTATGCCCCCCTCCCCCACACTAGTTGGAATTTTTCGAAGTCCAAGGGCCATAACTCTGTCAAAACTTGCTCAACTGTACCCAAAACAGAACTTGCCCTAGATATTCTTATGATAAATCTGTGTACCAAATTTCATTTCAGTATGTGCCACCTCTGCGAAGAAAATGAATGCAAACTGCAAATAATTGGAATTTTTCTAAGTCCAAGGGGCATAACTCTGCCAAAAATTGCTCAATCGTACCCAAAACAGAACTTGACCTAGATATTCTTATGATAAATCTGTATACCAAATTTCATTTCAATATGTGCAACTTCTGTGAAGAAAATGAACAGAAACTGTTGATGGACTGACAGACAGACACACAGACCGACCGACAGACAGCAGCAAAGCAATATGCCCTCCCTACTTCGAAGGAGGGCATAATTAACCTTAGTTTTATAATTGCTTTACAACCCACTGACAAGTTTTTAATAGTTTTACAATCCAGTAATACTTATGAATTTTACAAGTTTTTCTTTAATAATACATGTATGCAAAATATGGGTATCTCTGATAAGAGTCCTAGATAAAATAGATATTTGAGGTTCTAGTTTTGACATTGCTGTCTGAATCTCTGTTAACGCCCAATCATTAAATCTGACATTGACCCAAACTGTCTAATGCAGCAGAATGATTGATTGTCTGTTTAACGTCCCTCTTGAGAATTTTTCACTCATATGGAGACAGCACCACTTGCCAGTGGAGGGCTACAAATTTTTACCTACACTCGGCACTTACAGCCATTGAGCAGTGAGGGATCTTTTTCAAGCCAGCACCTACTGCGACAAGGTACCTTGGTTTACATGGTCTCATCCGAAGGACTAGTCTCCACGTCCCACAGTGGGATTCGAACCTGCTACGTAAGGATCAACTCCTCACTCTGCGACTCTAGAGCATACACTCTAACCACTGCGCCATGCCGGCAACTCATGCAGCAGAGGACATGCAGTCTATTAATTATCAAAGAGGAAGTAAAATATGCATCATAGAAATAATGTAAAATAAATATTTCAAATTTTTAAAATTATTTAATATTTATCAATTGAAATAAATTCTCTACATAATTATATAACAAGTACACATAGCTAGAAAATAAATAAAATGCCCTGGTATAAGTACTAGTGTCAGAGTTTCTATTTGTTGGACAGAATATCAGGAATTAATTATACAAGTACTGTCACAGTGCAAAGGCAGACCTTGGAGAATTCGCTCTCCCATTTGTCTATTTTTAGCATCATAATCACTGACACATTTCTTCAAATTTACCTGTATCTATTTTTAACATTAGTGTCACTGACACATGTGGATGACAATTTTCTACAGTGTCTTTTTTGTAACATTACAATCACTGACATAGTGATGACAATTTCTTCATTGTGTCGTTTTTTATCACCATATTCATTGACACATGTTGATGACAATTTTTCCTCGGGCGTGTCCTTCCTCCAGTTTTTCATACGCTTTATCAGCCTTTTCAAATGGAAACACTGTGTCTATCACTGGTTTGATCTGTAATAGAAAACCTTTGATTAGTTAATATATACTGTTAATTATAATACTGTAAGTCCCCGAGGGTCTCTACATTCCAATAGCTAAGCACTTCAGTACTATCTTTAAAATACGGATATATTTAATTGCTGTGGTTAAATATTGTGTCACAGTGCTGTATATGAACAAAATTGTTGGTTGAATTTGCACAATGCTGAAAAACAAAATACTTTTTTCTTAAGGTTTGAAAGGAAATTCACTTTAAGTTAAATTTATGATAATCTGATAAAACTTCTTGAAACAATACAATATAACCCTTTCCCCCTCAAAAAAAAAATCAAAAAGAAAAATACCAAATAAAAACACAAAAAAGGAGAATACTCAAGGCACTTGTCAATCAAGCTTTTGTTGATTCCTAGGGCACCCCATCTTTCAAAATTTGAGAAAAAAAGATTTTATTGCATTTTCCAAGTACTCTTTTTGATGTAGGCAGCAATGTAACTGCATATAACCTTTCATTCACCCCTCACACTTTTACCACACTTAATTAGACTCTAACTGCATGAGTACTTTATATCATTTATTAATATTTTTAAGTTCATCCTGTCATATCTCTCCTCTCTTCCAGCTGTGTGACAGTCTGTATTTACTGTGTCTAACATCCCCTCTCCCCACTGAGTACTTATATACTGACATCCCCCCTCCCAACTAAGTACTTAAGTACTAACATCCCCCCTCTCTAATGAGTACTTAAGTACTGACATCCCCCCTCCCCACTGAGTACTTAAGTACTGACATCCCCCCTCCCCACTGAGTACTTAAGTACTAACATCCCCCCTCCCCACTGAGTACTTAAGTACTGACATCCCCCCTCTCCACTGAGTACTTAAGTACTGACATCCCCCCTCCCCACTGAGTACTTAAGTACTAACATCCCCCCTCCCCACTGAGTACTTAAGTACTGACATCCCCCCTCTCCACTGAGTACTTAAGTACTAACATCCCCCTCCCCACTGAGTACTTAAGTACTAACATCCCCCCTCCCCACTGAGTACTTAAGTACTGACATCCCCACTCCCCACTGAGTACTTAAGTACTAACATCCCCCCTCTCCACTGAGTACTTAAGTACTAACATCCCCCCTCTCCACTGAGTACTTAAATACTAACAGCCCCCCTCCCCACTGAGTACTTAAGTACTAACATCCCCCCTCTCCACTGAGTACTTAAGTACTAACATCCCCCCTCTCCACTGAGTACTTAAATACTAACAGCCCCCCTCCCCACTGAGTCCTCATATAAGCTCCTGTGTCATACCTCTTCTTTCTCCACCATTTGTTTTACTGTCTGTAAGTGTTTACTGCTCGGTTTAAACATGGCCCACCTGTAACTTCTACCATCTTTAAATCCCTGTAGAATTGAATAAAGAAAAATATGAAGTACGTCACCTCTTGATTTTTTTTCCTATTCAAAAATTCAAACTTCTGACATAGGGTTGACAGATGTCTGTCAATGTGGATCTTACAGAGAACTAACATAAATCTTATTTCACCGAGTTTGTGGAGTGTCGCTCAAAATTAAATTTACAATATCAGGTAAATATTAATCATCATCTATCAATTCATGCATGTATGATCTGCATTTGAATATTACAAAGTATTTACAAAAGCATAGACTAAATAAAATTATTTTTTAATATGAAAGAGAGAAAAAAGCATATTTCATGACAACAAATAGTTTGTATTACAAACTGTGACAAGGATTCACCTGTAAAACATTGGCTGTTAGATTAGCACCAGACCTCAGAAGTCCCGGCAGAATCCCATATTCATCAGTTTTCTGTAGAAATGGAGTCTTTATCGTGACAAACTTAGAATTATTCCACTTTTTCAGTAGGTCAAAGGAAAAGTCTACCCCTCCATGAATGTCCAAAATCAGGTCGTACCTGTAAAATCAGGTAAGACAATGGCCAGGTGGGTCATTTGAAGATAAAAGGTCAACATGGATTATTTGACTAGCAATTTTAATTTTTTTTTTTTTTTCAGTGCAAACATGGAGAGAATTCTTCTTTTTCTTTTCTGTTTGTTCAAAATCTTTTATTAATGAAATTTAATATCATCTTAGGTATGGAATGAGTTATTTTTGGGGGATTAAAAAATATTGGGAAAACTTCTAGTATACTGTCCCTGGAAATATGGCGCTAAAATAGGTGTCACTGAAGGTGGCATACATTATAATGCAATCGCGTGAGTGATTGACAGTCAATAAAAAGACCACAAATCCCAAAATTGAGCCAAAAAAGCATGGTAAATTGCTTTGACATAACTTGCCTAAACTTAGCACACAATATCGGGCATGTTTCAACATTAGACCTAGGCTAATGCATCAAAGTTTTCGATCAAAAAACTTTCCTGTTGTAAGCAAAAATTGCATGAATAAGCCCAAAGTGATGGAGATGTGAGCTTGGGTACAGATAAATCTATTACATGTACGATCTCCAAGCTATATATACTTGAACCCTAATCCACCAAGTGCATACAATGCACCCATATTTAATTAATAATTTCCTAAAGTTTTACTATTTCATGCTTTACTCCTGTAAGATAATCGGCACAGTTCAACATTAGGCTAATTCATGCAAGTTTTTGGTCACAAAAGGCTCTTGGCAGCAGTGACTTTTGTGAGGGAAAATTACATGAATTAGCCCAAAGTCAGTTAGAGTGGATTTATAAACAGTTCTAATGTTAGAACTATATATACTCTAACCCTAATCACTCGATCAAATGCGTTTTGTTGAAGCGAGGGGAAAATGGCTGTTTGTGTACATTCTGCACATGCAGCAATGGTAAGGGAAATAACCACTCATGCACAGTCACATGATTCTAGGGACCAGCATATTAGCAACTTCCCAAATATTGTATGAATATCAAATTAAATGAATGGTTTAAAATATGGTTTAAGTGACACAGTGACGGAAAAACACGAAAATCGACAAAAGTAGAATTTATGCATGATGCATGCAAATTTTGTTCAGTTCTTGAGAATACTAGGTTTCAGAAAATTACAGGTTTCAGAACTTAAAAAATCTACTTTAATAGAGAAAAATAAAAGTGAAACAAGATGTGTTTGTGAAACACTGATGCCCCCGTATGGCAGCTTATGGCGAAGGTTAAAGTTTCTCAAATGCAAGTCAAAATCCTGGCCAAAAGATAAAAAATGTTAAATTTGAAAGCCCTAGCTGCAACTGTTCAATATGGTGAAGGTTGAAGTTTTTTAAAATTAAGTAAAACATCAAGGTCAAGGTCAAAGTTGTTGGTATCCAAAGGAAGGTCTTGTCACAAGGATTACATATGTAAAGTATGAAAGCCCTAGCACCAACCATTCAGAAGTTATGGCCAAGGTTAAAGTTTTTCAAAAGTAGGTCAAACTCCAAGGTCAAGGTCAAAAGGTCAAAGTTGTTGGTATCTAAAGGAAGGCCTTGTCACAAAAAATATACACATGAAGTTTGAAACTCCAAGCACCAACTGTTCAGAAGTTATGGCCAAGGTTAAAGTCTCATAAAATTTTGCAAAAGTGGGTCAAACTCCAAGGTTAAGGTCAAAAGGTCAAATATGATAGTACCCAAAGAAAGGTCTTGTCACAAGGAATACACATGTGAAATATGAAAGTCATAGCTCCAACCAATCAAAAGTTATGGGCAAGGTTAAAGTTGACAACAGACAGACAGACAAACAGATAAACAGATAAACAGACAAACAGATAAACAGACAAACAGATAAACAGACAAACAGACAGACAGGACAAAAACAATATACCCCCGGGATCTTTCGATCCGGGGGCATAATAAAAAAGTCTTTGTATAACCCAACAGAAAAATATTGCTTCACTTCTTCCTCTTTATTGTACGCATGCGCTGAAAAGTTGAAGAATTACCATGGTTTCAATTCCACAGATATAAATGTTGGATGATCGAGAATATTTATACAATCTTCGAAAAAGATGATCAGAACTTATTTCTCACTTCTGCTCCCTCCAATTTAATTTAACAAGTTTCACGCTAAAAATAAAGGACGTGTGACCATGACTTTGTGGACATTGACGATAAAAACAAAGCCATAGATACAACATTTGTTTTTCCAGCACTTACATTTTGCAGCTTTTTTCTTGCTTTAGAGTGCAGTTGAGTTGCCAAAACTTTGCTATATTCATATTTCACATAAGTCTTTTGTTTTGTGATACAAATTTCTTAAAAGAAACATGATTTTGACTCATTATGTTAATTTAAAATCTGGCAAATTAAAGCTGCCCACTGTTACAGTACATGTCTTAAAATTCATAGAAGATAAATTAAACTTTGGCTCTCAATATAACATATAAATTGGATGGAAAAGCAGACGACATTCCTACCCTTTCATGCTCATAAGTTCCTGTTGAACATTCTGTGTTTTGTAATCGATCACATGATCAGCTCCAAGGGAGGTAACCAAGGGAACAGCATCAGTGGAGCAGGTTGTCGTGACGATGGCTCCCCAAGCCTTCATCAGCTGTACAAGGGAAGCATAGAAGTCCTATTGGACTATTGGACTAGTGGGTTACTTTTAAAAGGAAATCTTTACCTTAAGTGCAAAATCAACTGGAACTGCCAATTTGTAGATTTTTTTTATCTAAATCATCAAAAGCTGGGGTTTTATTATTATTTTTTGTTTCATATTTCATGCCTAAACACTTTTAAACAAAGAGTAAAATCTTAAAAGTTTAAATAAAGGTTTTTACTACATTTAGAATTTTTGCACCCATTTGTCTAACAATGAAAACAGATAAATGGCAAAATATGCCTCATTTGAATCTAATATGAGGAACATTTCCTTGTGAAATTTATCTGTTCAATGAAAATACCAAGCATATCCATTAGTTCATCACACAATGTAAATTGTTGGTCAAAACAATTTAAACATGCTCAGATTATTTCACATAAATGTGTATTTGCAAGATTTTTTATGATAAAATTCTGATTACAAGTGTAGTTTTCTCAGTATTTCTTTATACTTTTATTAACATGCACTTTACTTGAATGCTTTTAAGCAGAAAACCAACCTGAATTGCAAATGTCCCAATCCCTCCTGAACCGCCATAGATCAACGCTCTACAACAGAAATAAATTGTACAGAGTATATACATGTATAAACAAAGTATTATATCACTGTACATGAGTCATACTACAGGTAGTTTTTGCTGTTTAAAATTCCAGCAACTGGATTCTCTAGAGGTACCATTAAAGTTCATCATTTTTTCCAATATTAATTCAATCATTTACATATCTGAACATATGGAGACATTTTAAGAGATCTCAATTTCACAACATCACTGATTTCTGTACACTGCAATACAACAAATCACATATGTATGCTTTTTCCTTGTGTCCTACATGTTTAAGAAAATAAAAATGGATACTGTCCTTCCTGACTTTTATCAGTAGTCTTCAAGGAGAGACAACTCTGGTAATAACTATGCTTTTGAGGAAAAAATCTTTAAATTTGCAATGACCTTGAACTGTTTTGACCTTTTACCTCTTATTAGCTGTGTTATTTTCCCTTAGTTCCCCTACATCACAGAGGGCTGTCATCACTGTGGAGACCACGTATGGAAGTGAGGCAGCCTCTACATCACTCAAGTTATGTGGCCTCGGAGATACCTACAATACATGTAATATATTCAATGACTAACAACACAAGTCATTGCTTTACATTTTATCACTTATTTCTGTCTTTCATTTGTGAACTTATCTTGAATTTTCTGAGATTCAATAATTTTTTTATAAATAGATGCTCTGTGAAAAAAAGCAAACGATTTAAATATCAACAGGTCAATCATCTATAGCAATTGAATATTTTGACATTATATTCCTTGAAAGTATAACATTTTTATGACATATACAATTTTATGAGAGCAGTCTGAACAAAGTTTGTCAAGAGCTCTGTAATGTCATGAGGTCATGTGTTGTAAATTTTTCTAAAGCTCTGTAGGTTCATTACGTCATTTGTTGTTGATTTCTTGACCTACTTAGGGTCATGAGGTCATGTGTTGTCTATTTGTGGATTTTTATAGATCCTGTATGATCAGATCATACTTACATGAGATTCTGATGTCACCGTAAACTCAGCATGTGATCCCTGTCTGAAAGGGGAAACTGTACCCCATATCTAAAAACAGAAACAGGCCTTAAGTTAAGGTTATTTAAAATTCAATAAACCGGTCACTTTTCCCTCAGTGTATCTAACACACAAAGCTATATTTGTAGGTTATTGACCGACTATCACAAAATACTGTTCATGTACATAAATTGATGTATTCAAAAATTAGCGCAATCACTGGGTATTGAGTCGTTGGCTTATTAATCATGAATTAGCACTAAAAACATCTGCACCATGTATTGTATAAATGTATTTATTAATAATTTATTTACAACGGTATTCATGAATTAGCACATTGTTGTCCGCGACAAAGCCACTAAAATATGAAGCCCGCTTTTTTAAGTACACATACAGTATACCCACCTGAGGTCTTAATTTGCACAGTAAAGTTAACGTTGAGACTGAGCTAGCATGGTCAGCATTCAAGCAAAGACCAAGTCGGCAGACATATTTCTCAGTAATCAGTCATTAACCTTTTTATTATATATTTAATGTCAGCACATTTTTTCCAAATTCATTTAAATTGAATATCTCTGAATTTCTGTTTGTAAACATCTTTACAACATTAGTAACTTACACTTCAACAGATATATTTGTGACGTCAAATGTACATGTATTGTAATGATGTCATTAAGAATGGAGAAATGGGAAAATATATTGTGAAATCTCAAAAACACAAAAGTAGTCCCTGGATATTTACAGTCTGGGCCAATAAGTCTGTAAATGCCCCGGGAGTCTCTAAATGGGATTTTATTGCGAAAAATATATCAATATATGTAATAAGAGATATTTAAATTATTTTGGATATTGATAAAAAAAAACATCAAAGAAATAAATTGGTACATTCAAGCAAAATTTCTATTCAAACAATTTCAGTTTAACATCTCTATAACCATCATCATATCACACAATTATAGTCCTTTAAATTCTACAACCCCCACTTCAGTTTAAAATCATTGTGTCCTACAAAAGCTTCCATCCACAAGGATAGCTCACCTTGTCGCCAACTTTAAACTTCTTAACTCTCATTCCTGTTTTCAGAACTGTCCCTGAGAAATCTCTCCCTAGAATCAGAGGAAATTCTGACTGAGGGGCATGGAGGCGATCCTTGTTCCTTATAGCATTCAACATTGCGTGTCCATATCCTCCTAATAATTCAAATAAAGATATGAACATGATTTAGCATTGTGTGCCCTACTCTTATAAGTAAGAGCATCGATTAATGTTCCTACGCTCCTTATATACCTCGGAAGTCAAAAGTATCTCACCATGAACCTCTAGAGCATGGAGTATGTGTGCCCATATCCCCTAATACATGCATTATTTCCTTCCTTAGTACAAAGTAAGTTTTTATCAATATAACCCAGGGTACTCAGCTAAGTAAACTTAATTTCAAACTCAAATAAGCCATTCTGATTGTATTTAAATTTTCAGGGAGTGAATTAAGTTTTCTGACTTCATTCAACTTTATATCTGTAACTATATAAAATTTGGATTTTTTCCCCAAAATTATCATTCTTTTTCATTGACACTAAATTGCGCATATCTATTCGCTTATCATGATATTCGCTATGGAAATCTCAACTAATGAAAACTTCTTAATTATAACTATCTAAGGCAATTTTTCAGAATTTGCAATTTAATTTACAATCTCAATGGTTGTTAAATATTGCATATTTTTACCATTAGCTGCAATAATGTAGCTCTCTCCTTTTTTTTTTTTTGGGGGGGGGGGGGGGGAGGAGCCCTCTCCAAAAAATATCAGATTAAAAAAAAATTCTGAGAGGGCTACAGTATTGCAGCTACTGTAGTATATACCTCTCATTCTAATATCCAGCATGTTTAGACTAGCAGCGGTAACATTAACAAGAACATCCTCCGGGTGAATGATGCGAGGGACCCTCACAGACTCCGACCATGTGAGTTCATCGTTACCCCCATATCTCCTAATCTGCCAGGCCCTCATAACACCTCTGGCCTCCTTCACTGAAACCTTTGTATGATGACGTCGCTGTGAGGCCAAATTTAGAATTGCATTGTGGGATTTTGCGGGGGAGGAGCAGAGTAATTTTATGTAGGACTGTCGAAGAATGTTTTTTGCCATCTTTGTAATTAGAGCTGTCTCTAGCATCCCTGGTAGGTTGACCTCTCTCTAATTACAGCTGGTGTTAATCTAAAGCAGGAAGCTTAAAAAAGAACAAAGAAATGTTATTGTCATGATTGTTGAGACATATAATGGGAGTCACTTATGTAAGTGTGTTTGCTTAATTTTAAAGGAAATATTTAACAGTTAAAATTACAACTTTAGAAATTTTGTCAAGCAAGGACGAAAAAGGAAGATTGTCAAAATTCGAAGTCCTATTTCTTGTGTGTGTGTTTGTTGAAGGGGGGGGGGGGGGGGGTCCATCTTTCACAAACCAAATTTTTATTAATACATTACCAAATTACCATGATTTAACAATGGTACAACAAACAGTGGGGCCCACCCTTTCAATGTACATTTTTTCAATAGTAAAAGGTTAGGTTTTGGGAATTAAAAGTGGGGAGGCTCCCCTGATACTACGTGCCTGCTGGTGAGGGCCCAGAATCTCCGGAGTGTTAACAAAAATATTTCATTCATTTTCTTGAAATATAAAAATTATGCCATTTAGGTTTTGTTTAGGAAATAGAAGACATAGTAATATTTATTGTTTTAACGAAAATTAATATTCCACGGAAACTTATTGTACATATAATTGAGGCTAAAATTTAACCGATATACTAAACGGTATCATATAATCATTCTTAACGTTTAAAAACATGTATACAAAATTTTAATTATGAACAAAAAAATATCGTATTGTAAATCATACTATTAGATCATAGCATTCAAAGATGTGGCTGAAATTTATTTTTTCAAAGATCTTCAAAAAAAAATATCAATGTATGATAGAACAATGACAAAATAATGAATGATTTATTTGGATTTGTCAGTTATTTTAAAAAAAAAAAAGATTTCAAATTTTATCATACAGCCATGATAATTTAAAATTTAAATCGACACAGTATGACACAGAATAATTTGAAAAACACGAATATTTGTTGGATGGTACTGAGATTTTTTTCTCCGAATAACTCTCTCTTTTTTCTTATCTTTTTTTTTTTCTGAAAATGATGTGTACGCACTTTCGTATTTGTGTATAGGCAGCTACGTGCCTGAAATTGAACATTGATTGATGAATATGACATACAGCCATTAATTAATATTAACATACATCATTTAATGATCTGGCTGCCAACCAAAAACTTTGCCAAATTAGTTATAAATTTACACTACTAAAAAGCAATACCACAGTTAAAATAGTTGAAAGGGCTGATGACAATTTAAGTTAGAGGTTTAAATATGCCAAATGTCAAAATTAACATTCTTAACTAATACTTAAAAATAAATAAATAAAATAAAAATTAATTATAATAAAAAACATCAGGTAGTACACATAAAAAAATCATTCGATAGTTACTCAGCGTGGTATTCAGTTGGATTATCTTTTTTTTTCTTCAGAAAACCTTGTTGCCAGGCCAGTGTTCAATTTTTTTCCTTGTTGGGCACACACAGCCAGTGTTGGCAGCTACTCGATCAGCAACAGCTTCATGTAAAATGTTACCAAATAAAGCCAACTGTGACTGGAATTAAATCCCGTGTTTCTACAAACTCAATGGCGCATTAATGTATGTAAGATTATGGCAATATTTCAACGTACAATAGATAGGCAAAATACGTCACACGAAAACTATCTATATTTTCTGCTAACTGAGCGTCTCTGAACTTCTGTCAACATCCTACTTTCGTTTTTGCATTCAGCGGTGGACGTTTGTTTCGTTTCTAGGAAGTTTAGATCCTCAATTTTTTTTTTTTTTTCAGTTCCCTTTCCTAATGTTTTACTACAAGGGACCCATCTTTTTTAAATTTCTTTATTCTATATACATCTTTACGAGTCAAAATGCTTGATTGATATTATTCAAATTTCACTATATATAAAGCCGTGTCCAGAAATATTGACCGTTTTAGTTCAACATGACACGAATAGACCAGAACAGGGTTGGTACATGTATCCGGAAGGCAGTGGCGCATGTATCTGTTAAATTTTATGATCGGCCATAATTAGATAAAATGAGAGAGTTTGATAAGGCAAAATCCACATTAGCAACGTAGGTTGACTACATTGGAACTCAACCCAGATACAGCAAGGAATCAGAGGGGTTTACTGCTGTAAACTTGTAAGCGGGTTAGCCACGTTTTTTTTTTTTTCACTTTACTTTCGTTTCATTATGAGTGACCACTGCTGGTAAGAAATGCATTTCGTTCATGGAAATTTTAGTTTGGTGCAAAAAATCATCATTTTATTAAATATAATATACATGTTTAACCGTTATTATTTACATCTCTGATAAACAGATCATGCTTCAGCATTTATTTTTATCAATGAAAGCACATGTTTGCCTTTTCATTCAGAATATTTACCCGAGTAATCGGAGTTCGTACCATTTCGTCAATACTGGGGGGGAAACAGACTAAACACTGTAAGTTTACTTCAGTAACAAAAAGTGCTTTCTAGCTCACCTGATCACACATGTGATAATTTTTAGACCCAAATACTGTACAGGAGTCTTCAAAATACTCGAATTTGGGTGAAAATATTGTACATTGTTCATCAAAAAACTGTACAAAATATCGACCAAAAATCAATGTAAGGCCAAAAAAAATAATAGTCTTGTTTCCTGCTACCAGCCTGAAAAAAATAGGGTAGGTAGGTAGGAAAATTATTTTATTTTATGTTTTTATTTTATTTTTTTCCGACAGCATTTTTTGGATATGAACTAATACAAGATAAAAATTAAACATGTCACAGGTCAATATTGTCTTTTAAAAGTTGAATTTCATGTCTTTTTATGTACAACTCAAGTGGTATTTTATGAAAGTCCATATTTAAGACAAGAATTTCATGAAATGCTTGTTTTGTGTTAACAAGGAAACCGATTATGATGACAGAACCATGAAATTCTGGAAATTCCCGATTTTTTTTCTTCCAAAACTTAAAAAAAAACTTTAGGGTCGGGTGCAAAAAAATAGGGTAGGTCGGGAAGCAGGAAACAAGACTATTATTTTTTTTGGCCTAAGCGGTTCATTATTTATCAATAAATTTCAGATCAATGAATAAGTGAACCACTGCATGCAGTGTTACTCATTTCAAGAAACTTTTGCAGCTTTTAGAATTTTGGCAATCCCCATGGTCAATGCTGAATTTGGTAAAAAGACTTCCATAGTACAGTGTTTAATGCGAGAGTTTGGTCGTCCCCAGTCATCTGCATTTTTTTTTTTTTGGTTGATGATACTAAAAGCATTTCTCTGTGTTACAATGGACAATACTTATGCCAAAGCAGAGCAAAAAAAAGTCATGGATTAAATTTCGTGTTGCTGTCCGGCTGTCCCAAAGATGCTCCAATTATTGTCGTTTTCTCTATGAAATGTCTTTAAGTTTTACTGACAAAATTTGACTAATTACAGGTGAAAAAACCCTTAAAGGACTTATCACATAATTTTTCAAAAATCGTAATTTTATGAAAAATATTATCTACAACCTTGTTTATTAAAATACTGAATACAATAAACGTTGTTGAAAGCATATTTTAAGAGATATTGAGAGTTGAAATTCAAATACGGCAATATGCATGGGTGCTAGTCACTTCGCCCCAAAACTAGAACGCCCCATGCATGAGCGCACCCAACATTTTTACCGGCGCCCAAGTACAAATATGAGCGCCCCAAATTTAAATCACGAGCGCCCCAAACTTAATTCACGAGCGCCCCAAATTAGCATTTCGAGCGCCCCAAGGCTTAGTAACTAGTAAAGTAAATTACTGTCTTTTTTTTTTACATTTAGATGTTAAAAAATATTGATGTGAACAATTCACGAGCGCCCCAAATTATATATATCATGAGTGCACCAAGTTTTTCAAGCGCCCCAAGGCTTAGTAACTAGTAAAGAAATAAATTATTGGCATTTTTTTGTTGTAGAAACTGTAAAAATGGTAATATTTTCATCTTTTTCAAGAAAAGTTATGTTTTCATGCGTGTTTTCATGTTATTTATGGTGTTTGTTTGTTTATTTCATTGTTAATTATTTATTTGTTTATGTTTTTGATTGGGAAAGGCCTTCTATGTTCTAGTTTGTTGTCACACATGCGCAGAAGGGTTAGTCCATGCCAGGCAAATTGATTATTGCTACTATTTGATTACAAGAATTCTTAAGTCGGAATTTTTTTGAGTTTGTGTGAAAGCCCCCACCCCTGTTTGGGAAAAGTGGATCTGTCCTTGTAATGATTTTTAACATAAAATGCCAACACAAAGGATTAGTAACACTTTTCTTAATATCTGTATTTGACACTATTTATACATGTAGATTTATAAAAAAAATCTTAAAAATGAAAACTCTCTCTCTATGTGTCGGTGAAAATTGGACTACTTAATTTGATGATGTATGTTCAAGATCGTGGCAGATCTCCTTTGCAGAGTTGTCGTTCATTTCTGTCTCTGATGAGTTGATCGTAGCAGATTGACTTAGCAGCTAGGTGATAGATATTACATGTAACTTTATTTAAAACGAACAGCTCTTCAAGCTGCTAGATGTTAGATTTGATAACCCCCCCCCCCAAAAAAAAAAGATACACCAAAACAAAACAAAAAAAAAAACAAAGAAACAAACAACAACAACCACAAAAGACCTTTGGTATCATGTAATGCTAAAAATTTTGTAAGGTGCGGACTTCTGAATGCATTATTTTTGTAGCTTGAAAAATATCTCATATAAAACTCGACCATATCATGCTAGCAGCGAGTGTTCATGAGTTCGAGTCCTGCAGAAAAAAAGATACTATTATTAAGGTACATTTTTTAAAAGTGTGGAATAAACTCTTCAATGTAGTGTTTTACAAAGAGTCTTGTCTGGAAATGTATTTATTCAAAAGCTGACCTCGTACCCCATTTTTCATTACATTGGGATCAGACCTGCCATTTGTTTTGCCGGAAATGGGGTGAGAATGAAATCTAACCATTACCCCTGATTTAAGAATCGGGTTTCTGTGAAGCTGTTTAGTTTCCTCTTTTGTTATTAAACTGTTTCCTTGGCCTCCACCTTCTTTCAGTCAAGGACTCTGATGTCAAAAGATTCAAATTAATGTTTCAACTGTGCTGTTATTTCTGTGTAAAAAAAAATGGGGGGGGGGGATTGGGATATCGATATAGACTCTGTAAGTAATTGGGATCGGGATTCCGAAGAAACAGACCAAAAATTCTGTGGTAAATAATAGTTTTAAAAATGTCAAATTAACTGATATTATGACAGTGGCAACATTTAAAATGTAGCAGAAAATAGAATATTTCTTAAGTGTAAATGAAAAAACTGCCCATATGGCGAAAATTACCCAAAAGGATTGAGAAAACAAACAAACAAAATTAGTACACGAACGGCGGCAAAAATAAAAAATGGCGGTTTTCAGTAAAATAAGTAAAGCAGACCAAGAGGTGATCATGAACTCGTTTTATTGGGACTCGGTCCTAAATACGGCACACTATCAATTCCCAGATGTACCAAAACTTCCAACTGGAAAAGCAGCTCATGCTGAGCTGGAGCATATAGACAAAAACCTATACAAACCAAATGCAAAAATGGTGTCCTTCAGGGTACAAGACAAAAACCGTTTGATGAACTGGTTAAAATGTTTAGCTTACAGATATCACTATCAGTTTGGTAAAAGAAAGGAATTCAAATGTGAATGGATTGATAGATTGAAGGATGGAAGTAAGGAATTAATCGATGAAGTTCTAGTTAGATTGTTGTCTGTCGATATAGAAGGCGAGGAGATGGAAAAAATCATTACTATCAATGTATATTTTTCTACCCACTTGATCACTGTTCAGGGAAACAACTACCTTCATTGGGTAGATGACGAATTTCCACACTTAAAATCTGTTGTGGAAAATATGTCCACACAAGACAACTCTGAGACAAAAGTGAAAAACCTACTTGACGTGTCAGCTGAATATGATGAATTCCAGTCATTTCTTAGTAGTAATAAGAAAACGTTTTCAACTCCAAGAATCATCTCTCCAAACACAGTCGCCTCACCAAATAATATGCAAACCATAGAATCAGGTATTTGTTCAAGGTTTAGCACCTTGGACAGAAAGATTGATGTATTCAATAACAATCTTTTGGAGAAAATAAACAATTTGGAAGAAATCATTTCCAGAAATAGCCAAGAGAACGAAATTAATCATAGTGTTCTTCAATCGAGAAATAAAGAACTGGAAAATAAAATAAACTACTTACTGGCAGAAATGGGAAAAAAGGAAGAGAAAATCAAGGAACTCAAAAAAGAAATAAGCAGGTTGAAAGAAGACAAAAAAGAAAACAAAAATGAGAAAGAGCAGCAGAAGGAAAACAAAAATGAAGAGAAAGACAATGAAATGAATGTGATGTTAGAAGAGAATACCAGTGTTAAGTGTCTAATTCCAACTGCAAACAGATATGAAGCCCTCTCAACTGATGTTGAAGAACCAGGTGCAATGCACCAAACAAGGTCAGACATATCATGTGAAATGCCAAAAAAGAAACAAGATCTGCCTATTGAAGTCATCATGGACTCACATGGAAAATGGTTAGATCCAAAATGGATGTACAAGAACAAAGATTTAAGAATAACAGTACTGGGTGCAGGAAAAAAGAACATCAAGGGAGCAATGGAACATATTCAGAGTATAACATTTCCAAAACACTTAATCATAGGAGTTGGGTGTAACGACCTGTCCAACGAAAACTCAGAAGATGTCTCACTCAGATTTAAAGAAATGATAACTAAAAATCCAACAAATTGTGTCCTTCACATTCTACCCATATTTGAAAGATATGGAGACAGTACATACAACCAAAAAGTTACAGAGACCAACAGAGAACTACAGAAATTATGTGAGGAAAATGGTGTAAACTTCATCAAAATGAACAAAATATCATCAGAAAATCCTCAAAATTACACAAGGGATGGAGTGCACTTTAGTAACATAGGAAGGAAAAATCTTGTCATTATGATAAAGCAACATAATGAAACCATATGACCAATATCAAAAACATGAATCACAAAATCATCTGCATCACAAAAGGGAACATTACCAAAATGATCAAAGACAATATTACCAAAGGAAACAGCATCGCCGCATTGAT